GTTCTAACTTAAAAGTGTTTTAGGAATTTATCTGGAATTTACTTAACTCTTACTTTTTAATAAAATGCGCAAAATGCCTCTTTGCTTGGCCTGATTGACATGCAAGGATTGTGATTCTGTAGGGAGATGTATTTACAGCTGTGCGAGCTAGTGGATGACGAAAAGCTTGATATATCAAGTACTGTAATTGATGAAGATGCTCCTTTAGAAGATGACGTGGTTCGTAGCTTAAGAGCAAGCCCCATTCATTCTTCAAAGGACCGCACATCTATAGATGATTTTGAGATAATAAAACCAATAAGTCGTGGGGCTTTTGGACGGGTTTTCTTGGCTAAAAAGAGAACAACAGGAGATCTTTTCGCAATAAAGGTACCTAAATGGCTGTTTGTGTGACCCTATCTCCAATATTTTCTTTTTTTGAAAGTTTCTTTCATTTTTTGGAATTCACTATGGAAATTGGTTCTCTTTCATATTCTTGCCATGTGAATATGTGAATTCTTTGCTTACTTCGAAAAAGAAAATATGTACATTCTTTGCAACAACCTGCCTTCTAAGATGTGTCTTGAAATGCCCCTTCCTAATATAGAACAATGAAATAGGGTTTATAAAGTATTGAAAAAGAGAAAATTGTACAATTCCAGGGATCGCATTCTGCAGTCTTAGGAATCACAACCTCAACAAGAGGGTTATTAGAGACTTGGTCAATGAGAGAATATCAATGTATTTGTATCTGTGAGTAGTTCTACTAACATTGTCAAATCACCTTTATATTTATAGGTTTTTTTAATGAAAAAATAAATTATTGTTATGATTAAAATACTTGAACAAGAAAATTTAATGTGATAAGATTTTAACCAAAAGCAGATTTGAGGAAGGAAAAAGCCTCCCTCCCGTGGCTTACTTTGCTTGGGGCAAAATTCTCATGATAGGTAATTTGAGTAAGCGGGGAAGGCTTGTTATCAGTGGGTACCTGATGTGTTTGCAAGATGTTAAATCCCTTAACTATCTCATTCTATGAGGTGTTGATGCTAGAAGACTACGATAATCATCTTTGTCCTTCCTACACCTATCTTTAGCAGCTAGCGATTCCCTTGAAGATAAATTATGGGCTTGGGATGGTATTTGGGTGTGCAAGGCTCTTGTTTCCTTTATCATGTAGGCTATCATTTATGTTATTTTTTTTGAAAAAAAGGCAAGAGAGTCTTTTAGGCATGATGTCTCCTTTTGCTAACATTAAGATCACTGGTTCTAGACCATTATGTTTTATGGTCGGCCCCTTAACAATGAAGAGGATTTAGGAAACTTGTAGATATTTTGGTCTTGTCACACCCGGTAAAGCTTCTTTTGTACTTGAGTGGCCTCCTTGGTGCCCGGTTAGTACTACTTCTCTCTTTTCCCTCTAGATAAGGACTTTTAACTGAATAAGAAATTCAAAATTCTATGGAATAGAATAACTATAGAAAACCTAATATATAATAACTCCATTCTCGTTGTAATCACATACTAGTAATAGTTTTAGAATAATCATCTGCTAGAAATAATTTAAAGCTGCTCTAAATTATGGGCTTGGGATGGTATTTATGTAAAGAGCAATATTGCTAACATAATTCCTTTGGCTGTTTTCTGGATTATATGGAAAGAAATGAATTCTAGAGATTTTGCGGGCGTTGGGAGTAGTATGTACAAATTAAGGGATATGTGGATTTATTTTTTTGGGACTATTTTGTTAGGATATGACATTATTAGTGATGAGGATTTTGGGAATGTCATAGATACGCTAACACTCATGTAAATCGTTCTTGGGTGTTACCCCCCTTTTTTGGTACCATGTTAATATATACCTCACTTGTTTATTTTAAAAAAAATGGTTGTTCCTCGGGAAAGAGAATAAATATTATATTAACAAAGCACCGAGTTTCCCACCTCATAGATGCTGTGACTATTTTTTTTTTTGAAATAAAGACGCTATGACTGTTTTCCAACTTTTTTTTTGAAAACCACAAAAAAGAAGCTTGCAAAACAATCACAGAATTTTTATTTCAAAAGAAAAAAAAATAGTCATAGCATCTATGAGGTCCACCAAGTCGTCAGCAGGATTAAGAGTATGGTTCTTGAACAAAAAAAAAAACAAGGTTGGGAATCAAAATTTGTAACTTTACGAAAGGGAAAAGATGCCATTAAAAGCCATCTTGTGCCTCTACTTCGAAGTAAACCATAAATAGCTGAGGGGATCAGATAGATGAGTTTCTTCCACGCTTATCACTCTGAATGCTGTACCAGGCCCAAATCTTATTGAGCTCAAAATCTGCCATCACCTAATGCAAACAAAACCTCAAAGCTGGTGTGCCAATTATGAAAGGAGAAAGGAGAAAATATATTTGGGTGTTTAACTTCCCTTGCGTACAGATAGCATCCATCCGCAAGAATCTTTCTTCTTTTCCTAGTGCGACAGTGAGAATATCCCACTCTCATTGTTTTCAAGAAAAAAGTAATTCTAGGAGGCACATTAAGCTTTGAATGGAAATTGTAATGGGGTTAAAAAAGTGTGCCAAATGCAAATAGAAAAAAATTCACTATGAAAGAACCTCTGATAGCCAATTGCTAAATTGGCTAATCATTCTTGTCAAGATGAAATGCTACAGATCGATAGGTGATGAGGAGAGTAACATATTCTTTAATCTCCTAGCCACCCAAAATTCTCAGAACATCCATAGCCCACAGCCCATGAATGGAAGAGAAAGAGAAGAACTTGCTGAGGATGGCATCTTTGCATCTAGCTAAAGAGAATTCAATGAGGAACTGTGGGTGCAAAGCCATCCTTCATGCCAATCATCTAACTGAAACCTCTCCCTTCCCCAGAATCAATCCCCATCTTGATGCACTGATATTACTCATTGCATCAATAATTAATTGTTTGCCAAATGCGAAAACCATGATCCAGGTGCAAATAAAAGGATTTTGAAATGAAATTTATGCTAGAAGATCTTGCATCACCTCTTGTAAGTCTTTGAATCCTTTGCATGAAGGGTGATTGACAAAAATGCTGTCTTAAAAGTTAATTAGAAAATCTCATTTTATTACGAAAATAGCCTTTTAGTTTCTAACTTGTCCATTAATTGCTAAGAAAGTTTACACTCTATAGTTTCTTATTAAAAAAATGTAAAAAAGTTGACCATCTGTCAACTAATTGTTACACTATTCAATGTTTGTTATATGATAATTTTATTTTCAAGTTCTTTATATAGGGTTAGCAAAATACTAATAAAAGGTATTTGATGTAGTATGAAGAGAGGTATGGAACATAATATTTTGAGAAAATTTATTAAGAACAAAATTAGAGATCTGAAATTTTAATAATCAAATCAATTGTTTAAATAATAATTATATGAATAATCTCTCGCACTTTTTATCTAAAAAAAAAATAATAATTATATGAATAATCTAGGTTTATGGTTCTAGAACTTGAGTTTTTTTTTTTTGAGGGGCCACCCACTTTATAATAGCAAGGATTTGGGGATCTAATTAAAATCTTGGTTGATATTTTTTTTGAGATAAAAAGTGTAGTATTGAAATTTTGGTTGATTTATAAATATTTTTGTATACAGGTTTGGACCCCTTTGGTGTTTTTGAATATATTATCATACTTTTTTATTCTAAAAGAAAACATGAATAGTCTACGAGATAACTAAAATAGGTATCCTATTTATAAGTACCATAGTAAAATCATCATAAGAATTCTTAAATCTATATAGGAAATCTAGTAAATTGAAAAATAGGCCAATTAATTAGACTAATCTATAACTGAGACAAACTAAATAGTATCCTAACTAGGAAAGGGATAGTAAATTCATACCAATAATAAGCCTATAGGTGTTTGGGACCTAATAGACATTTTGATAAATTTGTAAATACTGTTATTTATTTAAAAAAAAAGGCCATTAAGTATTAGTTTCTAAATAAGCTACAATAACTTAATAATACATTAACATTATAAATACATGAATCTCTGATAATACTGAGATATATCTATTTAGGATCTTCTTGTTCTGCATAAGTATTTTTCTTGCAAAATAAAAATAGGAATATTTTGTAATTGCTATTAAGTTAAAATGATACTTCTGAAATTACCCTTCCACTAATCTCAGTAATAGGTGAAAGATGATATTTTTAATTTTGTCTCTATTCTTAAGGAATATTTATTACCTTTGATATTTGATGGTTATTTGAGCCATATGATAATAAGTTCTCTGTAGAAAGTTAACTATTCTTAAGGAACAACTTAAAGAACAACTATGCCTAAGGAATATTTGTAAATTTTATCCCTTTTTGATAGCATCTCTTCTTTTATCCAAAAAAATTTTATGCTTTAAATCTTAGAGATTAGTTCCACTTTAGTTCAGTGGACACCTTATGTAGATAAGGAGGGCTTTTGTAGAGCTTCTTTTTTGTAAATAATTTTGTACCTTTGATCTCTTCGAAACTCATATTTTATTTCACAAGAATAAAGGGATATCTTTTATCATACTCACAGGCATATGCAACTGGGTGTCACGTTCTGGATGCTCAAATTGTGGGACCGAAATGTTTAAAAAACTGTCATACCCACCTTTTTTTGGCCTTTATATTTTTTGTGGATGTGGGTCAGAAATATGAAGAACTAATTGTTAGTGTATTTTTAAGGGAATCTTCCATTTTAAAATATTAATCTACTAATGTGAGCCCTTGTACTAAAACAATTTAGTAATGTTACCCTGTCAAGAAATTCCTTGTTTTTTTTGAACTTGGGGTTTAGCATTATCCATTGAATTTTATGGTAAGGCTTTCACATTTTTTTCTTGGGCAGTTCTTTTTGTCTCTTAGATAATAATAATTGAGTTTTTGAGTTTACTTTATTCTAACTGTCAAGTCATTGATTTTGGGTTTTTGAATCTTGGTCATGCTTTATCTTAGATACAT